TACTAGTATATATTCATGCTGGTGTGCAGTATGGATAATATCATGTAGAATTGTATTTTCATTTAATATTGTTTCCAATCAATTCGAAACCTAATACGCGAACTTCAATCGTAAGGTTTATTACCCAATAAAATTTGCTCAATCCATTTAATTGTTTTCATCGTTAACATGAATAGTGTAATGTGTAAGGTGATTTATTGTTGGTCGATCTATAACACCCACATAGTTCTGTTAAGCACAATTAACCAATGAAGAAATACCTTATAGAAAAAAACTATAAATTGCATCCATTTTAATGTCCATATAAGTATAAATAATTCAAAATTCTCATTAAGTCTAAAATCAAAACGTGCCCTACGATCACATCCTTCATGGTATTTATATACGAAAAGACTTGCGCGACAAAATTATTGTTACCAAATCCAAAAATGTGTCGCTCCAGCCTGTTAATGGACAATAAACCAAATGTTACTCTGATATCAAACTGGCGCTACCTATAGCGAACATTTAAATAGAAATGGCATGGCGTAGACAAATACAGAATGGGCTATTATTTGTCGCTAATTAGTCGCTGAAAGATGGTGTCGAAAGTCTATATCCGTCAGATTTTAATGAAAAGCGAGTAGCAAGCCGTCAAGCTGGCACTCAAAATAGAACTGGTGTAAAGAAATGCGGTAAGGGCTATAATTTGTCGCTGAAGATGGTACTTTTATCCAGTCTACCAATTGTCTATGTCAATCAGATGTCCAGCGAAAAGCGACTGAGAGCCGCCAAGGTGATACTCCACATAACAAATCTCATAATAGAAGTGGCGTGAAAAATACTGAGGGGGCTATATTTTGTCGCTGAAGGATGGTACTTTTACCCACTCTACCGATTGTCTATGTCCATCAGATGTCCAGCGAAAAGCGACTGAGAGCCTCCAAGGTGAGATTCCACATAGCGCATCTCATAATAGAAGTGGCGTGAAAAATACTGAGGGGGCTGTATTTTGTCGCTGAAGGATGGTACTTTTACCCACTCTACCGATTGTCTATGTCCATCAGATGTCCAGCGAAAAGCGACTGAGAGCCTCCAAGGTGAGATTCCACATAGCGCATCTCATAATAGAAGTGGCGTGAAAAATACTGAGGGGGCTGTATTTTGTCGCTGAAGGATGGTACTTTTACCCACTCTACCGATTGTCTATGTCCATCAGATGTCCAGCGAAAAGCGACTGAGAGCCTCCAAGGTGAGATTCCACATAGCGCATCTCATAATAGAAGTGGCGTGAAAAATACTGAGGGGGCTGTATTTTGTCGCTGAAGGATGGTACTTTTACCCACTCTACCGATTGTCTATGTCCATCAGATGTCCAGCGAAAAGCGACTGAGAGCCTCCAAGGTGAGATTCCACATAGCGCATCTCATAATAGAAGTGGCGTGAAAAATACTGAGGGGGCTGTATTTTGTCGCTGAAGGATGGTACTTTTACCCACTCTACCGATTGTCTATGTCCATCAGATGTCCAGCGAAAAGCGACTGAGAGCCTCCAAGGTGAGATTCCACATAGCGCATCTCATAATAGAAGTGGCGTGAAAAATACTGAGGGGGCTGTATTTTGTCGCTGAAGGATGGTACTTTTACCCACTCTACCGATTGTCTATGTCCATCAGATGTCCAGCGAAAAGCGACTGAGAGCCTCCAAGGTGAGATTCCACATAGCGCATCTCATAATAGAAGTGGCGTGAAAAATACTGAGGGGGCTGTATTTTGTCGCTGAAGGATGGTACTTTTACCCACTCTACCGATTGTCTATGTCCATCAGATGTCCAGCGAAAAGCGACTGAGAGCCTCCAAGGTGAGATTCCACATAGCGCATCTCATAATAGAAGTGGCGTGAAAAATACTGAGGGGGCTGTATTTTGTCGCTGAAGGATGGTACTTTTACCCACTCTACCGATTGTCTATGTCCATCAGATGTCCAGCGAAAAGCGACTGAGAGCCTCCAAGGTGAGATTCCACATAGCGCATCTCATAATAGAAGTGGCGTGAAAAATACTGAGGGGGCTGTATTTTGTCGCTGAAGGATGGTACTTTTACCCACTCTACCGATTGTCTATGTCCATCAGATGTCCAGCGAAAAGCGACTGAGAGCCTCCAAGGTGAGATTCCACATAGCGCATCTCATAATAGAAGTGGCGTGAAAAATACTGAGGGACTGAGGGCCCAGTCTGCCGATAGTCTTCTATATTCATCAGTGTCCATCGAAAAGCGACTGAGAGCCTCCAAGGTGAGATTCCACATAGCGCATCTCATAATAGAAGTGGCGCTAAGAAATGCTGTGAGGACTATAATTTGTCGCTAGAAACGTCTGATGTCCAGCAAAAAACAACTGAGAGCTTCCAAGGTGGAACTCCACTTATCGCATCTCATAATAGAAGTAACGTAAAGAAATACTGCTGTGAAGGCTATAATTTGTCGCCGAAAGAGGGTATTTTTACCCATTCTTCCGAATGTCTATATCCATTAGATGTTCAGTGAAAAGCGACTGAGAACCGTCAAGTTGGCACAACTCAACCGTATCTCAAAATAGAAGTGTTGTTGATAGATGGTTGAGATAGTACGGAAATTCAGAACTACCTAAACCACAACACTCTTGGGATATGCTATGATGAAAATAAATGTTAATGCAAATAAAAGGAATAAGAAAAATACTGTATCATTGGTTGGAAACAAACCCTTTCTGAAAATATACAGTATATTCTAACTAATTATCTACCCTGTAGTGATCCCATGATGTAACTATTCGTCTGTAGAAGCATACCGTAACGCCATTCCCTTGAAACTAACCTAACTGTCGGTCTATTCATCCCTTGAAAGATGCTGTAACCTAAATTTATAATAGCTTGGTTCTGTGGCATTTTACCTAGGAATTTTCTTGTGGTTTAATAGAGTCCAATGAGACATGTGGGTGGAATAATAACTGGTAAATACGTAGCAGTTGACAATTTCTGGTTCAGTGAACCCGACGTAGTTTCAGTCCGAAGTGAACTAATTATGTGCATTTATTTGAACAAATACATCAGAGAGCGCCGCGCAAAAACGCCCACGTTTCGGATTAGGTAGCACTTAAATATGCTAATAAAGCATATTCACGCGCTCGATTGTGTGACAGTTGACATATCGCTATGTGCCATTGTTTATGGTAAATGCTAATTTCCACGTGGAACACGATTACAAATGCTCTATTCATTATCATCATCATTCAGCAGTTTTTACGAAAACCATAAATTCATATGAGAACCATGTGCTTGGTCTGTAGCATCGCTGTCTACTCTCTGTAGCAAGGAATGGGATGTAAAGGTTAAACCATGACAATGGTAACATATCCAGTAATTTTAGCGCTTCAATGTTTTCTTCTATAAGATTGATCTTAAATTATCACATGCTGCCTTACGACACAAAATAAAGATAACACAAGTGATTTTCCACTAGCCTCTAACATTGTCGCATTTGGGACAATTTAGATCTTTTTATGGTATGCTTTAATTCCACTTGACTATTATAAATTCGTGATACAACTGTTTCTTGGGTCCCAAATACATACAGTTAATCTCCATTATCAACTGCATTTACGTACAATGTTAATACCACAGGCCTTCCTTCCCATCATATACATCTACACACAAACGTGGAGACTTATCAGGAAGTTTGAGTGAATTCAGTAGATTTAGTGATATGATAATGTTATATTATTGCCATTACGGCCTTGCATAACTCTGTACAATTATCCAAACGAACTCCAAACGAACTCCAAAAATAAGCAGAGAAACGCCGTAAGTAGGTATCTATCCGCCCAATTATTGTAACAGTGTTGGATTGTTGGATGTTTTCAATTATGTAACCCCTCTATGCTGAGTCAATAATAAGAAGCAACGCCTCGGTTCATTCTAACCCCCTATTGGTTTCAGCCTGCTTGTTCCAAATCTTCCGTCAAAACCAATTAACCAACAGCATAGCCCCCGAAGAATGCATCGAACAGAAAAAAACTTGCGTCGTCACGGTGACGGACTTGGGGTTGCTGGCGTAATTTGATCGCACGTAAGCATATAAACTGTCGTAGGTGGCCGCGCTGAACGAAATCTGAGCCAAGCAGCAGTCACTCAACCAAAATGGCCGCCTAATAAAACCTAAGCCTTCTTCGACGTTGCGTAAAGTTTGATGACCGATTCTCCGGCATATTTGCTGTACTATTTATTAGAAATAACAACTCTCATTGAGCAAGAAAATGAACGTAAAGAATAGTATTATAACAGTAGATTTGATGGAGTTCTTCGCATTTAAAGATTTATGACGATAAATGCATGCGTATGAGGTTAGCTTACACTTGGGCTTATTACAGTGTACTGCTACTAAGTCAATAGATTTATTACACCAGTAAAACGTTATCTGAAGCAGCATTATAGTTTATTATTTGCTAGTTTTATTGTATGTGGTTCTGTTTATAACGTGTGTAGGTACGTACTAGAGGTACCCTTATAATCACATTTTTTAATAACACGTCTTAAAGAACGAAATAATCCAGTTTTTGAAAAATTCGTATCGATTTATTAACTGTTCTATTTCGTGCTGCTTTTGACCTTAAGAAAAACTGGACATTGCACAATAAATCATGCTTTAACAATTCTATATTATCATGCAACTGAAAGAACTTAGACCTGATCAATCGATTACCACAGAAAATTACTTTTGCAATTGCGCTCTAGGAAATAATTTAGATTGAATTGGTTGCCCAACGGTGACCCGAAATTTATTCTGAACGCGTTTTGTAATTAGAAGTTTAATCAGAGATGGAAATACCTCTGAAGGAGTTCTCCACTCGTGCTAGAGAAACGTTAGGAAACGACGATAACCTTTAGACCTCAATCAGGGCAGCATCAGTTCACCTACTGTGATTTCTCCGTTTAGTCTCAAACCCCATTCTTGTGTACATAATAATAGAATTGACTTGTTTCTCACCTTATGTTTAGAGGAAGCAAATTCCTTTTTCCAAAAAAAAAGCTAAATACTTAGTCTATAAGTCACATTTCTATCCAACTAATTATCGATAACAGTGCTTCAAATCCTTCAGTCATTCAAATCCAAAACATTTAAGTACTTCACAACAATTCAACGCGTCACGTTCGGCATTCTGTTTTTCCCCCTTTGAACACTAAACACGACCAAGTATATGTCAATTTTGGTTCATCCACAGTTAAAATGACATCAATCCACACAAATGGAACATCACAATCACAACATTCCCAACAGCCGCATATTCGGTCGGCGCATCGTAAAACACGCGATTCGTTCCACTTGTTGCACAAAAGGGAGGCGAGAGATAACGTTGGGGTTGCGACTGACAATTGCGGTTGTCAGTATGACAATAAAACGAACGGAACCCACTAATGGGTCTCAATAAATGCGACAATACCAAAGCAACACTCTCACACAGACAGACTGAATAGTTACAGCAGGTAGAACTAAAACTTGGCTATACAGAGAAACAGAGTACAGTCAAATCTCTTCTTCTTGTGGATGTGCCGCGCGCGGCGGGGAGTGGGGGGGAGAAAAAGCAGCGCGGCAAGCGTTCAGGTGGCCAACCTGCCCCTTACGACGAACGGAGGTTAAGTTAAGCGGCAGGGTGGGGGGGCAAGTACGGCGACGGTAGTAAACAGGTTCGCCACTACACGGCAGCAGTGGCGCGATTCTCCTGTTGTCTGTTCACCGTCACTGCTACGATGTTCGACTGTNGGCGTGAAGAAATGCTGTGAGGACTATAATTTGTCGCTAGAAACGTCTGATATCCAGCGAAAAGCGACTGAGAACCTCCGAGGTGATATTCCACATAGCGCATCTCATAATAGAAGTGGCGTGAAGAAATACTGTGAGGACTATAATTTGTCGCCGAAAGAGGGTACTTTTACCCATTCTTCCGATTGTCTATATCCATAAGACGTTCAGTGAAAAGCGACTGAGAACCGTCAAGTTGGCACAACTCAACCGTATCTCAAAATAGAAGTGTTGTTGAAAGATGGTTTAGATAGTACGGAAATTCAGAACTACCTAAACCATAACACTCTTTGGATATACTATGATGAAAATAAATGTTAAAGCAAATAAAAGGAATAAGAAAAATACTGTATCATTGGTTGGAAACAAACCCTTTCTAAAAATATACAGTATATTGTAACTAATTATCTACCCTGTAGTGATCCCATGATGTAACTATTCGTCTGTAGAAGCATACCGTAACGCCTTTCCCTTGAAACTAACCTAACTGTCGGTCTATTCATCCCTTGAAAGATGCCGTAACCTAGATTTATAATAGCTTAGTTCTGTTGCCTTTTACCTAAGAATTTTCTTGTGGTTTAATAGAGTCCAATGAGACATGTGGGTGGAATAATAACTGGTAAATACGTAGCAGTTGACAATTTCTGGTTCAGTGAACCCGACGTAGTTTCAGTCCGAAGTGAACTAATTATGTGCATTTATTTGAACAAATACATCAGAGAGCGCCGCGCAAAAACGCCCACGTTTCGGATTAGGTAGCACTTAAATATGCTAATAAAGCATATTCACGCGCTCGATTGTGTGACAGTTGACATATCGCTATGTGCCATTGTTTATGGTAAATGCTAATTTCCACGTGGAACACGATTACAAATGCTCTATTCATTATCATCATCATTCAGCAGTTTTTACGAAAACCATAAATTCATATGAGAACCATGTGCTTGGTCTGTAGCATCGCTGTCTACTCTCTGTAGCAAGGAATGGGATGTAAAGGTTAAACCATGACAATGGTAACATATCCAGTAATTTTAGCGCTTCAATGTTTTCTTCTATAAGATTGATCTTAAATTATCACATGCTGCCTTACGACACAAAATAAAGATAACACAAGTGATTTTCCACTAGCCTCTAACATTGTCGCATTTGGGACAATTTAGATCTTTTTATGGTATGCTTTAATTCCACTTGACTATTATAAATTCGTGATACAACTGTTTCTTGGGTCCCAAATACATACAGTTAATCTCCATTATCAACTGCATTTACGTACAATGTTAATACCACAGGCCTTCCTTCCCATCATATACATCTACACACAAACGTGGAGACTTATCAGGAAGTTTGAGTGAATTCAGTAGATTTAGTGATATGATAATGTTATATTATTGCCATTACGGCCTTGCATAACTCTGTACAATTATCCAAACGAACTCCAAACGAACTCCAAAAATAAGCAGAGAAACGCCGTAAGTAGGTATCTATCCGCCCAATTATTGTAACAGTGTTGGATTGTTGGATGTTTTCAATTATGTAACCCCTCTATGCTGAGTCAATAATAAGAAGCAACGCCTCGGTTCATTCTAACCCCCTATTGGTTTCAGCCTGCTTGTTCCAAATCTTCCGTCAAAACCAATTAACCAACAGCATAGCCCCCGAAGAATGCATCGAACAGAAAAAAACTTGCGTCGTCACGGTGACGGACTTGGGGTTGCTGGCGTAATTTGATCGCACGTAAGCATATAAACTGTCGTAGGTGGCCGCGCTGAACGAAATCTGAGCCAAGCAGCAGTCACTCAACCAAAATGGCCGCCTAATAAAACCTAAGCCTTCTTCGACGTTGCGTAAAGTTTGATGACCGATTCTCCGGCATATTTGCTGTACTATTTATTAGAAATAACAACTCTCATTGAGCAAGAAAATGAACGTAAAGAATAGTATTATAACAGTAGATTTGATGGAGTTCTTCGCATTTAAAGATTTATGACGATAAATGCATGCGTATGAGGTTAGCTTACACTTGGGCTTATTACAGTGTACTGCTACTAAGTCAATAGATTTATTACACCAGTAAAACGTTATCTGAAGCAGCATTATAGTTTATTATTTGCTAGTTTTATTGTATGTGGTTCTGTTTATAACGTGTGTAGGTACGTACTAGAGGTACCCTTATAATCACATTTTTTAATAACACGTCTTAAAGAACGAAATAATCCAGTTTTTGAAAAATTCGTATCGATTTATTAACTGTTCTATTTCGTGCTGCTTTTGACCTTAAGAAAAACTGGACATTGCACAATAAATCATGCTTTAACAATTCTATATTATCATGCAACTGAAAGAACTTAGACCTGATCAATCGATTACCACAGAAAATTACTTTTGCAATTGCGCTCTAGGAAATAATTTAGATTGAATTGGTTGCCCAACGGTGACCCGAAATTTATTCTGAACGCGTTTTGTAATTAGAAGTTTAATAGTAAGTAAGGCTCCAAAACGCTTTGATTCCACCATTATTTCTGAGATGCCTACCCTTACAAGTATTCCTGCCAAGGGGAAGTAAAAAAAACACAACTTTTTTAATTGATTTCTCCGTTTAGTCTCAAACCCCATTCTTGTGTACATAATAATAGAATTGACTTGTTTCTCACCTTATGTTTAGAGGAAGCAAATTCCTTTTTCCAAAAAAAAAGCTAAATACTTAGTCTATAAGTCACATTTCTATCCAACTAATTATCGATAACAGTGCTTCAAATCCTTCAGTCATTCAAATCCGAAACATTTAAGTACTTCACAACAATTCAACGCGACACGTTCGGCATTCTGTTTTTCCCCCTTTGAACACTAAACACGACCAAGTATATGTCAATTTTGGTTCATCCACAGTTAAAATGATATCAATCCACACAAATGGAACATCACAATCACAACATTCCCAACCGCCGCATATTCGGTCGGCGCATCGTAAAACACGCGATTCGTTCCACTTGTTGCACAAAAGGGAGGCGAGAGATAACGTTGGGGTTGCGACTGACAATTGCGGTTGTCAGTATGACAATAAAACGAACGGAACCCACTAATGGGTCTCAATAAATGCGACAATACCAAAGCAACACTCTCACACAGACAGACTGAATAGTTACAGCAGGTAGAACTAAAACTTGGCTATACAGAGAAACAGAGTACAGTCAAATCTCTTCTTCTTGTGGATGTGCCGCGCGCGGCGGGGAGTGGGGGGGAGAAAAAGCAGCGCGGCAAGCGTTCAGGTGGCCAACCTGCCCCTTACGACGAACGGAGGTTAAGTTAAGCGGCAGGGTGGGGGGGCAAGTACGGCGACGGTAGTAAACAGGTTCGCCACTACACGGCAGCAGTGGCGCGATTCTCCTGTTGTCTGTTCACCGTCACTGCTACGATGTTCGACTGTTCTAAGCCGACGGAGTGTAGGCGGGCCTCGATCGGGCACTTTTTGTAATTATTATGGCGTGAGTTCTAGATCATCCACGACACCTTTGCCAGAAACATACCACTCAGTGTTCAAGTCACCGCAATCACTTGAACTTCCTTAATTCCTCTGGAAGCCGGAAAAAAACAAAAATGATTTGATAAATATATGAAACACGTATTAAATCCATATCTGTACTTTTTAAGCGTCAGCGAATTCAATTTTAATTGAATAAAATTCATTCACTTTAATGTTGAGTGGAGAAGTCGTAGAATGAACATCAATAAATTACTCAAAAGAGACAAGTCAGAAGGTTCTTCGCATTTCTTTTAGCCATTGATCAAAAAGCATGCGGATGTATTATGTAAGGTGTAAGCAGATGCTCCAGTCAACCCTGCGACCCCACCTCGAATTGATGTGGATAAGGACCTTTCACAACTTCTGTTAATGTTAACTGATAGCATCAAATGTGTACTGCCACATATGCAGAAATACATAGACACTGAAAGCTCACCATAGGAGGTTTTAGTTTTGGGTTTATAGCCATTGAAACAAAATCCAATTAAAGTGGACCAGCTTCTTTATGCATTGTCGATTCCTTAAATTCTAATATATTCGATGAACCCTGATTACTCGATAGATATCCTAACTTTTGCCTAGATGTCTTTACTTTCAATTAATTTCAGAAAGTATTTCTTCTTTGTTAATTCATAAGATTTTGATTAAATGACTTTCTCAAACCACTCAATAGTAGGGTTGGATTTTTAACGTCGGAGCTTATTCTTCCTCAAGTTCGATTCCTCTGAAGGTCTGACTGAGTTGCCCTATCTTTGATCTCGTCTGCTGGTGCACCTATCTTGCTGACCGACACCGCACCCACTCCTGTTTTCATCTATCTCTGTCCAGCATCTACAGCTTTCGTTTGAAAAGGAGTACTCGCATCCTTTACAGGTACCTACATGTCTATTTCTTCCGCATGGTGTTGCGCTGCACTCGTTAATATTATACGATAATAATACCATTAAACGCGTACAAATTTTTAATCGGTCTCTCTTGTAGGTAGTATGTAAAAGTAACCAAGCGGGAGTAAAAATGTCTGTTCGCATACCGCAACAAACTTTCACACTAATCATTTCTAGCTCATTAAACGGCTAAACCTTTTTTTTTTTTGTTATTTACCTCCCAAAGCTCAGATCTATCGCGAATGCTAATATAATTAATGTTTTCTACTGGCAAACATGAAGTTTCATGTGTTTCGGAGTAGGAATGGAGACTAGCTCGGTTTGAAAGGAAATAAGACATGTAAACCGTTTATTTTTTTATTTATTTGTTTTCTCATTAAAAATTGATTTGCATTAAATACACCACAAAATGATTTTATGATATGGAAGGTAGATCGTTCGTCGAGACACAGTCGTCTTCGCCACATTTTTCACTCTCAACCGGAACATACTTTAACAATTGCTTTGCATATATGGTTGGAATTGGAATCTGTTTTTCTTTGTTGTCGCCATTGTAGAGTTGTTTTAATAACGTAGTATCCACTTCATCGATAGACGGCCTCTGTTGAATTCGTCTTTTAAAGGCATTCTCTTTGAAATTCAAATACTTCTCGTGCCATTCTGATTCTTCACAAGTAAGTTCTTCATCGTTTTCTAATTTTTCCAGAACAGTCGCCTTCATCTCCTTGAAGCGCAAATAATTTTGGCACCATTCCGATGCACTGAAATCGATATCATTTTCAACCTTATCTTTTCTCATAAAGACAGTGTGTTCCGAAGGTTGAGCGCTTTCTTCCTCTATTTCCTCTCCTTCTTGAATCGTCTCCAGTAGCGCTTGCCGTTTTACTTGTCCCTTTCCGATTTCTTCATCTAATTGGGTATATAAAGCATTCTCCGGTAAAAGTAAGGCTCCTTCATATTTCGCCATTGTATCTCCTTAAATGCGAAATTTTGTTAATCTTGAAGCATTATTCATATTAAATTTTGAAAGAATGTGAGATCTCTTAAGCCTCTAATTGATTTATAAGGACTACATTGCATTGATGGAGTCCTGATTCCGGTCTAAAGAACGTAGTGTGTTGGATTTGTGGACAATCAGCATCCAGCATCAGAGATGGAAATACCTCTGAAGGAGTTCTCCACTCGTGCTAGAGAAACGTTAGGAAACGACGATAACCTTTAGACCTCAATCAGGGCAGCATCAGTTCACCTACTGGTCGCGAAAGCTTTTGCCAATTTGGCTACGTTCTAGTTGATCCTTGTTTTGGTGTAAGCAGCCTATTTTGTATAAATAGGTACATCGTTTACCTTCCCAAACTCTTCCATTGAGGTCAACCAATACCACATGCCCCACTGGACAGTTCCCTCGAAATATGCAGCTAATCGGCATTGTATGTTCAAAGTAGTATGTCCCTGGTCCTTCGTATTTGTCTTTCAAAGTAAGCCCGTGGTAGATCTCGCCAGTTGGGTAAGTGATAGTGATTTCTTTTCCTTCAACAATCTTATCTTTACTCCACTGGCATTCATATGATTGGCCTTCTTTTGTGAAGTAAGTCCCATGCCCTTCACGCCATACAATCCCAAATTTGTGGGCACAGTATTCACCGCTGTATTTGTCGCCATTCGGCAATTGAAAATTGCCCGTTCCAAAGTGCAAGTTTGGATTAGTTTCATCTATGGGATAAACTCCGCCCTTACCTTTACCTTTACCTTTTTTACTTCCCTTTGGCATTGGAACTTTTTTTTTAAGGAATTTTCGAAAGTTTCATGTTAATCTCCACGCCACAAGCGACTGCATATTAAATTTGACAGTTTGCTTTATAGGAAGTCATAAACGGTGAACGTAGTAGCCTCTGGTGGAATCTGGGGAAATCAAGGCCTTCTGCACGAAGTTTTCTGCGGCGGTTACGGTGCGATCATTGCTCGTTAATGAGGGACTAGTAATAAAGTAACCTAACATTTTTTTACTTTCAAATTTTATGTAAAATTGACGTGTATAATACAAATGGTAGAAATTTAAATAGACTTTTTAAAAAACTAAACACTTTGCAATGGAGTATTTCAAAAGTGGTCTGAAATCAGTATTGGGAACACAACAGCCTGGCGTCCAGCCAACAGGAGCCGAAATAGTAAATAAAAATTTGGAATTTTTGTTTACATACGGTCTTCATATGCACATTTATTTCGTTAACAGGTCGACAAATTGGTAGATCGCGTGACACTTTCCACATTGCTGGAAGACAGGCGAGATGCTTGCAGAGCACTCAAAGCACTATCAAAAAAATATAGGGTGGAAGTTGGGGCCCATGGAATGGATGCACTTCATCAAATTCTCGAGACTGACAGGGCCGATTGTGAAATAATTGGGTATGCTTTAGACACCCTATGTAACATAACATCACCTGAGAGGTTTGATGAAGAAGAGGAGAGGAACAATGTCCACATTAATATAAATGTTGGAGAACAGTTTACTGAAATGTTTATTAAAAACCCTGACAATGTAACACTGGTACTGAACTTTTTGGAAGAATACGATTTTCGTGTTAGGTGGCCAGCTGTTAGGCTACTGACATCATTACTGGTGAATAAGCCCAAGCAAATACAAGACATAGTTCTTGTAAGTCCAATGGGAGTATCCAGGCTAATGGATTTACTGTCTGATAGTAGAGAGATCATTAGAAATGATGCTTTACTTCTACTGGTTCAGTTGACCAAATCTAACGCCAATATTCAAAAGATCGTCGCTTTTGAAAATGCATTTGATAGACTTTTTGATGTAATAAAGGAAGAAGGTTACACTGACGGGGGTATTGTGGTGGAGGACTGTTTATTATTAATGTTAAATTTATTAAAAAATAACACTAGCAACATAAATTTCTTCAAAGAGGGTTCATACATTCAACGTATGGCGCCTATGCTAGCAATTCCTGAGAATATTGAGGATGTGGGGTGGAGTCCTCAGAAAGTATCCAATATTCATTGTGTACTTCAATTAATTAGGGCCTTAGTTTCGCCTAACAATTCTGCACAAATAACAACTTCATGTCAGAAAAATTTGCGCAATGCTAATATTTTGGAGGCCTTATGCAGTATTCTAATGGCCAATGGTGTTCCAGCAGACATTCTTACTGAAACAATTAATACAGTGGGTAAGTAACTTCGCAACTCTCATGTTAAGTTCCTATTGCGATTGCCTGTGTGTATGTGTTTACACCCTAAAGGCATATTCATATGAAGCCATCATGATCGATATCCATGCGGCTTCCGCCGAACATCTATTTAATTGTAACGTTCACCATGGCCTTCAATTGGATATCGAGACTGTTACTCATCATGTATTCTTACTAAACTACTAATGCCGGTGGGCAAACTGTCACTTTGGATTACGTCGGAAGGTATGGCGGAAGACCCACTTCAGTCTCCTTTTAGGAATCTTGGGACTGGGTAGGTGTTTAGGGGCTGAGAAGGATGAGATGGACGAAATGAAGACAGAAGAAAGATTATCTATAGAATATTACTACCCCAGAATTTACCTTGATCCAATGAAACCACAAATAACTTGGACGAGGATAGACTGATGCCTAAAGGAACCAGTGCCCTCCCGAATGCAATGGTCTAAACCCGTTTGGTGTTCGGCGGAAGTAGAATGTACCATCATGACTTACATAAGAATATGCATCTTGAAGGGTCGGTCATTCTACTTTTCACTCCCATGAGATTTTTGTACGGTCCCATGAACCGTTTAATGTGAGTGAAGACAACTAGGTACTCGTATACTAATCTCGTTGGTGTGAACACCAGAATAGCTCACCTGTACTGTAACTTCTAATAATTTATTTAATCTTGACATAAATTCCCTTTCTTAAGCCACTCGTTGAGCTTTTTGCTTTCAATGTTTCTATTCAATAGTTTACGAATAAATGAGTTTAGAATTCTAGTAATATAACCGTTATATTATACATATTAGAAATAATTATTGTTTATTTAGGTGAGGTAATTAGGGGTAATTTAAATAATCAGGAATTTTTTGCGGGCGTGATGGNTAATACAACCGGTATATTATACATATTAGAAATAATTATTGTTTATTTAGGTGAGGTAATTAGAGGTAATTTAAATAATCAGGAATTTTTTGCGGGCGTGATGGCTCCGTCAACTCCTCCTCGACCAGCAATTGTGGTCCTTCTTATGTCCATGGTAAACGAAAAACAACCGTTCTCGCTTCGTTGTGCAGTGCTTTACTGTTTCCAATGCTTTCTCTATAAAAACGAAATTGGCCAACAGCAAGTGGTCCAAACATTACTCCCAAGTACGTCAAACAATGCATCCTTGACGACTGGTCAGCTTTTATGTGGAGGTCTCTTTAACGCCGATCCTTTGAGCAATTGGTTTTCAGCCGTTGCTCTATCGCATACGTTAATTGACAATCCCGCGCAAAAGGAACAACTTCTAAGAGTTCTACTAGCAACAAATGTGGGATCTCAACCTTTCAGTCTTTTGCACCAGTGTGCATTGTTCATGCAACAAGCATCAAAGCTCCAGTCGAAACTGGGAATGCTGATGTTGCTCTCTACGTGGATGTCGCACTGTGCTCCGGCAGTAAAGATGTTCCTGAACGTGCCTGGCGCTATGGCGTTTCTCACTGCTCAGACCTCTGCAACAGAGAATGATAACAACGAAGAAGTGTTACAAGGTCTTTGCGCGTTCTTAATGGGCATCTGTGTTGTTTATAACGACAATTCCGTTCAAAATTATTCCAAGGAGAATCTATCGCAGCTGATAGAAAAAAGGGTTGGAATCGAAACGTACGTCAAGAAATTGGCAGAGGTGTCGCGGCATGAGGTTTACGCGAAAGCTGCGAAACAACCCCAAATTAAAGCTAAACATTCCAACGATCTGTTACTCGAGTTCGAATTCTGTAAATTATTCAAAGCATTGGAAGGGGTCATTATTCAGACATTAGGTGCTCAAAAACAGTTGTCGAATGGTATGACAGAATTAAGTTTGAGCGAGCAGGAGAACGGATTGCTGTTACAGTATAAAGACTTGATTAGGGAACAAGATAATATGATGAAGAATTTAAATGCAGAACTCGGAAAATTAAAAGAAGAGAACACAAATTTGAAGGTCAGTAGACAGTTTAGGTTTCGTTCAAGATAAGAAGTTGTTTTTTTTTTAGACACAATTGGATGAAGTATTACAAACTAATTCGCAACTTCAAGACCAAAACACGCTCCTTAAAGCCCAACTTGCTGCGGCTAGTGGAAATTCGGATGTTTCACAGTTGTTGCCAGTTTCTACTGATGCCACTTCTACCAATATGCAAAACGAAAAGTTAATTCAAGAACTAGAAGAAAAAGTCAAGAGACTGGAGGTAGACAACGAAATAAAATCTGAAGAAATGGAGAAACTTCTGAAAGATCAAGAAGACCTTTTGGAGCTCTTGACTGATCAAGATGCTACACTTAATAAGTATAAAAATAGACTGAGAGAGTTAGGAGAAAATATTGCCGACGACGATGGTGACTCTGATATAAACTCGGGGGAAGAAGTTGAGGGTGGCATCACCAAGAACTGACTTGTGTCAACGTACACTATGTATTTATGTATATTTTGTAAACATAATTTATGAGTATGTTTTATTTCGTGAATTATCAATAAAAAAAGTGGTCACTATCATGAACTGTTTTCTTCGACATAAAATAAATTGTTTATTGTGCTATATGAAAGGTAAGTTAACAAATATAAAATTACGAAACAATTGCATTTAATCTTCATAGAAAAACAAGTAAAAAAGACTTTTTCCATATCTATATCTTCGTTTTCCTCAATAAATAGAACCCACCAAAAACTTAGTGGCTGAAGATTCAATTTTCTTTTCTATTTATGTTTCGAAGTTCCATTGGCATTTGATATACCCTAATGGGTGAATTATATAGCGGATTTTCTCCGTGCCTCATGGTCCCTTCAGCAAGTTCGCGTTCGAACCTTTGATACTCTATTCTCTCTTTCCTTCTTATATTCATTTTATACAAAACCACGGCCATCAATCCAAGACCCAAAATTGATGCTACTATTATACTTCCAAAGATCGAGGCTTGTCTTAATTTATTTGCACCTGCTACGCATTTGTGACGATAAATGTCGATGTTGACGATGTGGTCTCTTCTTATCTCGTAAACATAGTCCATTGTACAGACCAAATTGTTCTCTTCTTGCAAATACTGCGTGAAGCATTTGGTGTCATCTGGAAGAAAATAACAAATTTGTAGTAACGGATCTTTATACTTTTTATGATCTTTACCTTTAATTTCTTCGTTTACGAAATTGGTTGTGTATACAGTTCCGTCTTTAAGAGTGCAAGCTTCTTTGGCATTGATCTCGGAACTAGCGGCTATAACGCATTCCTGGAAGGTGGAACATAATCCCGTGCAATTGGAACATTTTTCACAATAGGTTCCTTTATAAGATTCTGGACATTGACATTTTCCACATTTGCAGAACCCAATTCCACTACAAACTTCTTTGTCGTTGGGAGCCATGCAGAACTCTTGGGACAGTAAGCAGGAGCAGTCGTCACCTCCATATTCCGGTAAACAAGTACATTCCCCATTGTAGCAAAATCCATTGAAATCACCGCTACACACTAAACCATTTTCTCCTCTAAAAATATTATATTATGGTACTGTATGTCAGATAGAGAAACATGTATCAAAATACTTTGGACATTCCTTGTACTGACAGAAGCTTCCTACAAAACCTGTGTCGCAAATGCATTTTCCACATTCGCAGTCTCCTCTAAAATAATTTTTGTTTCATTATCTTTTTTGAATAAAATTCAAACGTGGGTAATCTACAAAATACTTCACCTGCCATGGCATGTAGTTGAAATAAACGTATTGTTCTTTTCTCTGCATGCATCGTAATTTTGTTTTATGCAGCTTTCTTCACATTCTTTTCCCCTCCTGTAGATGTTTTGGTATAAATTTTATGGCTATCAATAAAAGTTTTAAAACGTATTACCAGCCTTCATTGCACAGGCATACCCCGCAGTATTTTACACCATTATTGGAGCATTCTGTTGTACGACCGTCCAATTCAGAATTGCAAGTACATTTCCCAATATATTCTATCTCGATTGTCAAATTTTCAGCTATATTCTGCTCTTCTATTACAAGTGTTTCTCCCTGTAGAAAAGAGCGTCGGAAAAGAAAAGGTTAGAAGCGTTCGAAATGTGGTGTTATAGGCGGATGATGAGGATATTGTGGGTAGAAAAGGTTAGAAATGAAGAGGTATTGGAAAGAATAGGAGAACAGAGGACTCTATGGAAGTCAATAAAAAATAGGCGAGATAGGTTGGTAGGACACCTTCTGAGGCATGAAGGTCTAGTCAGAGACATATTAGAGGCAGAAACAGGAGTTCGGAGGGGTAGAGGTAGACCTAGATTAGATTACTTTTCGCAAATAGTTAAGGATGTGGGCTGTTCTCGTTTTAGGGAAATACGAAGTTTAGCTCAGGATAGGAAGGAAGAGGTACGTGTCCAAGCAGTCTTAGGACTGATGACCTTATAATGATGATGATGATGATCAATATCTGTACAACAAATACATTCCCTACCAATTTATTACTTGGTAAGTTCTTCAGTTCCAAAGTGACATTGAAAATGTATTCTCGTCCTTGGTCGACATTGTCGCAAGTATCTGTCACATTCCATTGGTTAAGGAATACTGGTTTGTTGCAACTGGACATGAATTTCACGTCAATATTGTCCGATTGTGTTAAAAACTTGACGTTTTTCACCACGTGAAAGTATCCCTCTCTGACCAAATTTAACACGTTCTCTGACTTTTCCTTTAGCTCTCCCACATACGTAACTTCCGGTATCGCATTGCTCAATCGTCGGAAATAGGGCAAAGTTTGAGCTTTAGAAGCGAACAATACATTCATCTGAAATATATAAAACAAAAATAATGACTTGAATATTGTTTGGAGAAAAAAAATGCCTTTGCATCCAAGAGCTTCCTGTAAATTTCTTCTAAAGATGGGTAGTCGTATATGAGTGAACCAGAGTATACTCCATTGTCATCAAGGGAGCATTTGTCTGGTACTTTTTTGACTGCTCCTGCCAGAATACCATCCCCAGCTGAATGAATTATTCCATCAGTTGCTACCACCACAATTTTCCTGGAATTTTGTCTCCATTTTATGTATTCTTGGCATACCATAATCTGATACAGTGCATCAAATCCACCTTCTAAATTATCCAAATTTGCCGTTGTTTTACTCAATTCTATCTGGTGACATTTTCCCAAAATATAAAATCAAATTATTCAGCTGTTATCGAATACTTTCTTACCGTTTTGATGAATTTATCGATATCATTGGTAAAATTGAGCCTGTGTATGAAATCGAACGGTTTTCTACACGATCGTGCAAGTGAAACACATGGGTTATTGAGAGCATTGGGAGTCATTAGCGCAAAAGGCATTGCTACTTTATCAGAATAATAACCAAATGCAACACTGTAGTGTTCGGTGAGTTCTTGGAGGAGTTTTGTCAACTCAGCACCCAACTTAGTCATGGTTTCGACATCCTGTTCCATTGTATACGTCAAATCCATTAAGTAATAAAGATCCAAAGGATAATTTTTGGCTAGTCTGTACTTTAATTGGAATGTGAACGGCTGACCTGAGATGATATAAAAAAAATTACTACATTGCTGGTGAATTACATAAAAAATCATCATCGTATTAATTAATTACAGTGAATTTCGGATATAACAACGATGAATGGACCACTGTAATTTCGTCGTTATATCCGGAAGTCGTTACAGGCGAAGGTAAAAAGATACGTAAATTTATGTATAGTTTCACCATTTTTCAATTTTGAAATGATTTCTGCCTTTTTTGCATCTAGGAGTCATATTTATTCAAAAGTTTACTAAACACAGTTGCTACTCAGAATATCACTTTGTAAATGAACCATTTTAACGTACACGCTTAGAACAACTATAAGCAAACGGTAAAGGTCACCACACTAGCTGACCTTCTATGTGGATTTAAACGAAAGATGAAAAAGCCCTTTGTATCTTTGGCCGCCTACTCAGGTCGCTATATCTGCACTAACAATAAGAATTTGTCACAAATGATTCACTAAAAACAGTTGCTACACCCGAACTCGGCGTTACATCCGAAGTCGCTATAGCCACATGAATTTTGTACTAAAGTATCCTTTAAGTTGAAGGGCTTAGATTTAACGTCGTTATAACAAAATGGTCTCTATAAACAAGGTCGTAATTACCTTTCCTTAATTTAATCTTCATTTTCTGTGGCCTTATTTGAACTGACTCATAAATATTATCGGGATTGGTAACGTCATTAAAATCTTTGTCTTCGATTTCCAATGCCGATGAGTTTCCAGGATTTTCAACGATAAAATTACTCTCGCAGTCTTGAGATTTTAATACTGATAATAAACCACATCTTGGTTTATGAAAATTCTGAAAGAAGATCGTATAAAAATTAAATCTTGAACAGTTTAAATAAACTCCCTGCGTGGAACTTACCGCTTGATAACACCAATGGCAGTATGTTTGAGCTTGAATGCACGTTTCGCAATTTTCACTGGCATCTTCACATAACTTCTGAAATTGGAGCAGTATTTGTGACGAAGTGACATTAATTAAAAACGAGATTAAAATCACACCGATTACATTCATTTTAGATGTTTTTCATTGCATCTTTGCTAAACGTTGTTGGAAGCATTTAATTGGGGACGATGTCTCAAAAATAATTTAATCATCTAGCTCTATAAAATGTATGATAAATAAATATTCCGATAAGATAACAGCAAAGGTGTGTAGAATAGTACTGGGAAGAGTTAAGCTGCAGTTTTACGAGTGGTGATAGTAAAAACTAATAGATACGTGTGAACTTTCCAGGTGGTGAATAACGAATGTAAAATTAATAAAGTTTTCCGGAAAATACGAGATTATCTGAAGTAATTTTCGTAAAAGCATACATTAAAAATGTAATGGATTAAAGTTGATAAGACTCTCGACTGCTTCAATTATTGTCCAAATTTTTAAATATACAAAAAAAACAAACTTAAGTTCTTCATTAGTACATATACAGGGTGTTTATGAAATTAGTAGCAACCTTGAAGGAGGTAATAGGGCACTATAAAGCGAGTTAATTAAGTAAATGTTTAGTGGTTCAAAAGTCCACCGTTTTCTAGAAAAACATGGTTGAAGATACAGTCCGGCCCTGACAATGAGCATCTAAAGATTATTGTGTCACAGCATGTAGCATATCAGTGTGCTGTTGATATTTACTATATTAGTTTTACAATCGTCACTGTTTACATTTTTAATCGATGTAGTTCCTTAGTTTTTATCGCAATTCCTCTATATGCTGCCAATTCACGCCCAGGGCCGGCTTTAGATTACAACTTCGTCTGAATTTCTTACAATCTTTTTATCTCTTAGCTTCTAAGCTTGCTACTTATTTCAGAAACATCCAGTATGAACTGGTATTCTGTTTAGGAAAAATAATCTAAGAATTACAAAACTAATTATTTTGTAATTTAAAATTTATACAAGAATTTTGAAAAAATTAATTTTAGAATATTAAAAAAAAAATATACTTTAAACGTTTATTTTATTTATAGTACCACGCAAATATTAATAAAATCAATTGATTGTAATGGCAAAACCTATCTCGCCTATTTCTTATTGACTTCCATAGAGTCCTCTGTTCTCCTATTCTTTCTAATACCTCTTCATTTCTAACCTTCTCTATCTACGGTATCCTCATCATTCTTCTGTAACATCACATTTCGAACAATTTAAACGTTTCCTTTTATTTTGTTTTTATTTACAATTTTCCGAGGTATAATACTGCAATACTGTGAAAATGAATAGTGTTTATTTCGTTTTCAAATGTATAAATGTCAGAGACACTGTTTTATTCTTCAGTCTTATTTGCAATAAGTTTTTTCAATTTTGGACATAATGATTGTGATACTTTTTCGGTAATATGTAAAAAAAAATTGTAGATCAAAACTAAAAACCATTTTGAACTTGCTCCTGGTATTCCACTTGCATTTTCCACCACCACCACCACCCTCCCCCACCCCCCGCCAGTTTAGTAAAGACAATAAAGCATATTTTAAAAAATATTCGCTAAAGATAAATTCAGTATAACTACAGATAAGTTTTCCATAAGGGTTTTTCTCTCCCTTTTGGAACGAAAAAAAAGGAACTACGAAAATGCCATTTTCTAAAAATGAATTTATTTTTATGAACGCAAACTCGTACATAGTCAATCTTACCCTAAACTATCATTAAAATGCGTTTATATAATCACAGAACTTCTAATAAATGGTACTTATTAATTACAGTATACTGAGGCTTAATGTTTAATAATTATAATAATTATTAGTTGACTTTTGTTAATATTCATGTCTACATAGGCATTAAACCTTCATTCTTAATTATTCTTTCACCACTATGGCTGCAAATTAAGTTGTAATATTTACGTTATAAGTATTCCTAGAAAGCTGTGATACACTGCACGATTCCAAGAAGTGTTCATAAATAATAAACAATTTATTGCCCCAGGTCTATTTTTGCTTAATAAAGATAATCTAGGGGTAAACAACAACAGTGTGGGTAAATAACACTGTCATTACTTATTATTATTGCTTTTAAACAGCCCTAACCCCAGGCCATAGTGGCTATTTGTTGTTAACTACATAGTAGTTTACCAAAAAATGTCTACTTTTAGCAGTGCTTTTTTCCGCCTTCAGCTTATAAAACAACCGTTATTAAATTAAGAACTAATACGAAATACATATTACACGATATATCTGGCAAGAACGTTCATTACGATCCAAAACAAGGGAAAAAAGAAACACACAGCTAAAAATTAAAATAAACATTTAATACGTACGAATGCTATATAAAAGAATAAGTAAAAAAAAGACGAAAACAATTCAACCGTTACAATTACTACAGAAAATGAACGAAGTGCAAGAAACCTTTGCCAAAAAAAAAAAGAAAAATAATAATAAATAGCAGCGTTCTTCACAACAATCCACTTTTGTAAATGTCATATCAAATTGCACGAAACAAAGAGAACGTAAACAGTAATAAATATTACCGAAAGAATGCATTTTTCCAACCGGAAGCGTTCTAAAGTCGTCAACTCGCAATGATGATAAAAGGCATCCGATGCAAGTTTGTTTATGTGGGCATTTTCTTACAATAAAAGGAGATTCATCTCATTTCGAAAGCCCATTCCTCTTTAGCGTCAATTTTGACACAAAACAAACTTGCACAAACAAAAGCTTTCTACTCGAAATTAATCAATTATCATCAACATCAACGATTTTTTTTAAACGGCCCCTGATACTACTAGTACTACTATGCTACTCCATTAAAATACTATCCTGCAATATTCTACTCATCTCAGTAAGTAAGTAAGTATCTACTTGTTATCAGCGCTCGCATACTTTTCATGGCAATAGCAGAAACCTTAGGAGTCAATCTAAGCTAAGAAGCTTAAATGCGTCTGTGCGAGGCTCTAAGGGCTATGTGCATGGAGTGAGGGTGCTAAGGCTTTGCAAGGTGTCTAGGTGAGCAGGAACAGTCATAAGAGCGTCTTCGGGAGTCCTATTGATGGAGCAGTTAATCGGTTTAGCCCTTGTAGTATCAACGCATTCGATGGGCATTTTGACCGTTTCCATGGTATAAGAGTAACCGTGCAGCGTCAGTTTGATAATGGTGTGCAACGGAACGTGGAAGTACGGGATTTCTTCTGAGGGAACGTCCAAGAAATATCCCAAGATGCAGCGAAGAACTGCTTGATGGGAGACGGTCAAAATGTTGGTTTCACATTCGTACTGCTGAAGAAGTGGCACAAGCCGCTGCATCACGTCTATGTACGATTCCCCACGGGGATATCGATACTTGAGCTTTTCATGATCACGCAGAGCCAATTCCCGTGGGAATTTCTCTGCTAATTCTTCGTACGTCAGGCATTCGCAATCGCCCTGAAACAAATACACAAAATAAGTACTCAAGGAAACGTTGCATGTTGGCATTGTCTTCAAACATACCGAATATATTTCGTCCAATTCATGTAAATGTAGTTGTGGGGCTTGGATGCCTGCAGCTGTAGCTTTGGTACGTTGTAGGGTCGATGTCCAAACTTGGAGAGACGGCAAATTGAGGGCATGAACATGTTTGGCCAAAGCCTGGGCGTATATTCTGCCTCTTGGTGATAATGGAGCGTCACCACCGATGCGGCCAATCACATTGAACTCGCTCTCTCCATGCTGCAGAAATAAAAATAATAGTTGAACATCTAGATACCTTTCATCCAAGGAATAAATATGTTCTTACCCTGCTAAAGTAAAGAGTTTGTTGTGTCAGTCTTGGTGTTGAAATGTAGGCAAGGATCTTTGTTTCTTTAACGCCATTAACTCCATGAGCAACAACACCTCCGTATCCGCCGTCCAAAAGTTTAACCATGGGGCATGGAAGTTCCCATTGACTTCCTAACGATGGAGATTCGTACTGGGCCTTGTAATGGGCCATTTTAAATGTTAGATCTGTCAAGGCTTGCTCTGTCGCCATGTCGCGATAATCTGCGCTGTATTGCAAGATTTCCTAAAATTTCGGAACGAATCTTTAGTTTTATTTGTTGATGAAAATAGGAGACTTATGTACAATTACCTTGAAGTTGCGTTCGAGAATGACTGGATCTTCGCAAACGCATTCAATGAACATGACTCTAAAACCCAATTGCCCATAAACGAGATCGTAGATGTCTTGTCTTTGTTGACGAGATACATTCGGACCGTCAAGGATGGCAATTTCATTTCCATCTTCTTGAAGCCAAGCAGCGGCGTCTTCTAGAGCTTCCCTGAAACTCTGTTGCCTAATTCGTACCATCGGTTGATTGTCAGCCTTAAACATTTCATGAGAAGCATACTTCTGCACATGCTTCCTTCTGTAGTCGCTGATGTCGAAAACTGTTTTGAGGAAGGAGAATTTCAAAAATTAAAACTCAACTATCATCATTTATTTACGATTTTAAAAAGTCGGTTTTAAATTTTTTATTTTTTTTGACCGCTTTTAGAGGACACGAACCTTTTGTTGTGTCCCCTGTATAGTTAAGGTATCGGTTGAGCCTCCGGGCTAAAAGGCTCTTGCCTCGGCCTGGGAGACCAACCATGGCAACCAGTAAGGGTGCAAATTGACGAAGGGGTGGCTTGCGGTAGGCATGAGCCCCTGTAACAAAGAGAGACGAAAATCAGGTGAGCAACATTCAAGGTCAGGACTGTTTTTGTAGAAGTAGAACTTCTTTGCTATTCAATGAGCTAAATTTAGAATCTGATAAGAAAACAACATCACGTGCTGCGTTAGCGGTTTTCAATTTTGACAAAATATGTAAACGTCGACTTAACACTGAGCTGTTAATTTTTATCGCAGCGCATTGTATTTATAGCAAATATTTGCTTTGTAATATTGGAACTTAATTTTTGCAGGTACTAGAAATATGAACGTTAATAATAAATAAAAAGATTAGTTACCTACACAACACGTTGGTTTTTTAGTATAGTTTTCTTACGTCTGGTAAATAATAATCAATAACTGGTTTTTAAATTAATTTAAGGGTTGAATAAATGAACAATTAATAGCTAAGCTATTAGACTAAAATGGAAAAAAAGTTTGCTTTACATGTATACAATACAAATTGCTGACAAACCATAAGTAAGTTATCTTTATTGCTTTGTTAGATGGTTCTAAATTGATAATACTTATTATGAAATCTCTTAAGCGAACCGCCGGAACATCCAAAATCTAGTACCAAAGTCCAAGGTAAATTTAACTTTATGATGCAACTAGATTTATTTCGGTCCAATTATTGTTTGTATACTGTTTTATTTAAACGAAGCTTGCTAGACTTTTTGACTAATGCTAGTGCCAAGTTTTCTTACATTTTACAGTTTAAATATTCTAGAAACTACACATATTTGACAAATAATATTCTACGAAATAGGTAGCTAGTGAAGCGTTTAAAATTAGCCGTTTTACATTCCACTAAATTTTCGAATTATATGTCTTGTATCTACGTATATTTTTAACGCTATTTTTAATGGAAAAGTGAAATGTTTTTACGGATAATAATCACTGATCGGTTTTTTAAATAAACAACATTCTCTTCTAGAATTATTTATTTAATTATTAATGACGTTTATTCAATTCCTGATTCAAAAATGTGGCAATGAAATTAAATAAAGATGAGTTTGGACATCCTTTTCACCTTGTCTAACTTATTTACTATCAGTTTACTTGCAGTACAAAGGCACTTATTGAATGAATTTTTATTTTATTGTTTAATTTACATACTCATCGTATCGAAAGGTATTATTAGAAATGAAGTATCTCGAATCCGGCTCGAAGGACCATTACTAATGGTAAGAAAAATAGTATTTCTTTTAAGTTACTTTTAATTACTACAGTAAATTTTTAATCGACAATAATTTATTTTTTTATTTTTTGTTTCCATTGTTATCCACACCTATCGAATGTAAGGGGTTACTCTGTTACTTCTCTTTATTCACGCCAAAAAAAGCTTTCTGATTCAACTTGTTCGTTGTATCTACCGAATGGTATACTTTTCGAATAACCTCTTTCGAACCACGTGGTAGATTATTCTTGCTTATGTGGAAATCAAATTTGAATTATTATCAGAAGGCACTTTTCTTAATCTTATAATGTAAACATCTGTTCATGAAAGTGACCTCATTTGAAACTTTTGAAAGTGTCTAATCGGAAGTTATCATTTCAAATAGATTAAGATACAAAGTTACTCGTGTAGTAGCTTATGCTGTCTTTTTTTACATACATTTAAATTATTGTATTGTTGTACGGGTTATTATTATTGTAGTCGCTAGACGTTTAATAAATACGTCGTTTTTCAGGACTTATTCATATTGTTTACAATAATTAGTTTGTATACTGCGAAGATAGTCCTTTTATCTAATCGACGACTTGCTCAAATATTTTTATAGGTTTTTATCCTAATTTTTCTAAACAAGATTATTTGCGTTTTGCTGTAAGTTTTAAACGGGAACCCGTGGATAAAATATTATTAAATAGTTATGGTAGTAGAAGTCGTCTCATAATTATTACAAATCTTTGTGGAATGTGGCATTTTTTTATTATTTTAGGGAACCAATCTGTAGTGTTTTTTTATAACTTTAAACGTCAAAATTATATAAGCAAATTTTCGTTTTTGGCTGTTATTCAAAATCGGTTACAGATAATAATACGGTCTTTTTCCTTTCAAAACTTAAAGATTGGAACGGTGGATTTTTCATGAAAAAGTTGGAAGTGTATGAGATAGATGGTATAGGCGAATCAAGCTTGCCAACACAAAACTTTAGAAAGCCCGGAGATCGTTGGAATAAGTCAGGAGACATCTATGTAATAAATATGTAAAGGTAAAAAAAAACTTACTTGTATGTATAATTACACATACTCAACTAGTAGTTGAGAAGAACAATTTTGTTTTTCATAAAAATTGAAAAAGCCAGAGATTATTTTTTATGAATTGGAGTCCGGAGAAGAAATATAATTTTTCTGGAGTCTCCGAACTAAAACTAGCCAGTTGGTAACCCTGAGGTAACTGTTAAAGGCACCGTGGATAGAAAAAGTTGGAAATGAGGATAGGCATTGGAATAAAAGAACATAGGATGCTATAATAATAAAGAAAAAGAAAGATAAGATAATCGGGTACTAACATGAAGGGCTTAATCAGAGATTTATAATAAACAGAAACAGGAGCGACGATGGCAGAGAGGAAGGCTTCGATTGGGTTATTATTCGCAGATAGTGTGAGATATTCTAGTTTTCTGGAAATACGAAGATTGTTTCAGGATAATAAGAAGTGGATGTTGATGTGATGTGTCCAAGCAGTATCCGGGCTCACGACCTAATGATGATGATCATCATCAAACTTTCGTTTTTAACCTTCAGTGCGTATGCGTACAGGAGGAATGACCCCTTTTTTCACCTTGACAGGTTTCTTTGGATTTGCGTTTTAAATGAATTTCTAACTTGGGTAAAGACTCTTTAAAAATAGATTAAAGGGTAAAAAACCCCGAAAGAACTCTCTTATTCTGTGGAAATCCCTTTGTGTGAGAAATTGTTACGCTTATTTGGCTTCAATTCCTCTTTTACAAAGATGCAAAAGTATTAGACTTCCGCGAGATTTAAAAATAACTTCTCCAACAATGAATACTTCCAGCAAAGACAGGAAACAAACATCTGACAATATTTTTTCATTTTTGTCATAAACGGAATTTGTTGATTTAAACTCTGTTCTTTCGTATTTGTAATGGTTTCAGTTGTAAGGAGGCAGTGTCTCAAAAAGGAAAAGATAATTGCGTAAACAAAGGAAAATCATTGGACGACTAGATCGTGTACTAGGTATGTTATTGCGCGCGTAGGCTCGTTTTGGAACGCGTTTCTAAAAAGATTCTGGCATTAGGTGCCAGGTCAAAGCTTCTGTCATACTCTGGATGCGTGATATCTTTATTTTAAGAGTACAAAAGTGATTACGCACACAACCTCAGCGAACAAGGATTCTCGTGTCGTAACTCAAATATTTTTGGTTATTGTTGTCGAATTTCTCCATTTCTCTAACTCAGTTTTTCGTTTATTGTTTCTTTACATTCTAAATTGGTTCTTAGATTAGGATTATACGGTTACGGTAAAGGACAACGGGAATGTAGCACTTATATTGTCTGACATCGTTATCTGAAGGGTTATTTAGCAATGGATTTAACAAAAGTAATATACAGTACTTAGAAGCGATGCCTTCGACAGTATTTTACATGTCAGTGTGGCTATTCTTCATCCTGTTGACATTCTCACATTGATAAAAACATTGGATAAAGCGAATACTTATATTGTCATGTTACAACACAACGTAAACGAATTCTTTTTTAATGGAAATTAATTATCTTATCTAGAGAGAAAGGAGTAATTAAAAACGGTAATGTGTCAAAAGGAGTCAGAACTTAAATACATATAGGATTTATTTCCAAATATTTTCCATTTTTATTTGATCATCCTCGGGATGAATAGATACTAGTAGGTACCTAGATGGGTGCTTTAAAATGCTCAAAGGAAATTCCGCAGTATTTTAGAGATGACGTTCTTAGTTCCTATTTTTGTCCAAAATCGCGCAGGATTCAAGATTAATGATGTTTTCGTCAGTTCGGTAGTTGCACACATAAGAAAATATTTACTTTCGCAATAAATCCGTTAGTTTAAGTAAAGATTGTGATCTATGTCAACCACATTATTTACTACACGTCTTATAAAAGGGTCACTTCTGCTACACAAACATGTATATTTATTAGAACATTTACGTAAATAATGAAAATTTGATGAAGCAACTCAAATAACTTGAGTTGTTTAGTAGAAGTAGATTTAATTATAAATCGTGCTGTTAATTTCTCCTTTATACGTTTCTGTGGAAAACAAAGCTATTTAAAATTCATTACCCACCAATAAACGATTACCTTGAATAGGTCAAAAACAATGGCGCTATTGTACTTGTTTTAGACAATGAATTTTTTTATTTTAGTTTATTCTAAAAACCCAATCGAATTGATATAACGCATTTGCAATTTCTAAAAAAGGTCTTTCTATTTTGATTTCGCAAACATTGGAGCATTATCATGAAAGCATGAGGAACTTGAAGCATAATTATATGAAGTATCTAATGAGAAGTATTTGAACATACGTAAGCATCTCAAAAAAGCCTGACAGACATCACCAGCTTTTTCTAAACTTGTTTGATTATAATAAAAACTTCGTTTATATGCATACGCGTTCGTATGAGTGTGGATGTTGTTTATGAGAAGCAGGAATTGAGGACACCTCGGTGCCTCGATCGTTCATTCATGTGTTCCGATACATATCCAATTTTGGACAAAAGTAAAGATCATTTATTCTAACGTTAAAAGATATTGATTTTGTGATGCACTTACCCTTGGAATCTTCGTCTTCAATGGTAATCTTGGTTTTGTTCAAAGAAGTCATTGTTTTTTCCGGTTGAGCGGCCACAATGGAATCTTGAGAATCCCTGCTAAATGTGTCTTCTTTCGACTTTTCCTGAGTTTTGAAGTAACAGTTCAAGCACAGATTTTCAAAAGCAGCACTACTTAAAATCTAATTTCTCAATTTGTACTCGAGAAGAAATATGTACACCACGTTGAAAACTGGATTAATTAACTATTATATTTACAGAAACTAGACTCGCTATCAATTGAGTAATTACTAGAGATAAGCGTGATTTTCTGAAAAGTGATCGGACGAGGTGTGAATTATAAATTTTTTGAGAATATGGAACATGCCAAGCCTGTATCTGATTTCCGTAGCCAGTTTAACTACGATCTTAGAACAGCTGATCGAGAAAACAAACAATGGAACACGGTTTGGTAAATACAGTCCACCTTTTACTTTAATAAAACTTCCTATTTATTGCATACTACTTAGTTTGTAGTACCGTCATTTGCAAAGTTCGCGAACTAACTGCAATTGTGTCGCTTTTCGTTGACGCTTTTAAATGAATCGTTTTATCAACACACTGGCGCTGGCACCGAACACACAACACAAATAACTCCCACAAAGCACAATTTTGTAGTTGGTGTGTTGTGGACGCTGCTGTAAACGTTATGATGCGGAATTTATCGTGCAACGTCGCTTTTGTTGGTGATTTGAGGATAAAAATGTCATGCAACCTCGCATTCGTGGCGTGGCCAATTTCGAATCACGGTTAGATTGGCCAGCGTTGCTAGACCAGGGGAAATTCCTCTATGCTTAAGGAGCTTAGAGTCAGTGCAGAGAAAAGAGGATTTTTGTTCAAAATAACCATCTGGCAACGCTGTCTCTTCGTCGTGAGCAGATGTCGACAATTGAAAACAGAAGATCAGCGATTTATTTTATTTTGTTTTGTTTACTTTGGCATCAAACGATTTCCGGAATATTTCCCCTCTGGATATCCAACAAAGAATAGAGAAACAAGTAGTATGAGATTTTAATGTCTTTGTTGCGTATATTGCGCAGATTTCGTTATCCCCCTGTCTCGATCAATGAAGTAAGGGGTTGTACGTGAAAGTGACTGTTGTATCCTTCGGCTCGTCCAGGAACCCCCTTCGATCAATGAATGGCCAATCAAGGTTAAAAGCTTGTTAAAAAGGCAACGTCGTTTTTTACAAATGATTACGTTTGAATATTTTCAAAAATTGATGCCAGTCAAAACACGTCAATATTGTGTTGGGTCATTAATAAGGTTTCTAAGTAAACATTTCGATGATTTTCCTCCTATGACGCGAAGGAAATATGGACTTTGAACCGAGAAACTGTTGTCACTTGGCTGGCGTTCATGCTACGGGTCTTAATTAGTTTAGATTTGTCATCTTTTTGCTGGTCGCTGGTGTGTTGTTTATATCAGAATGTTTTGCTCATTCCATAGCGAATTAATATTAATAAGTTTGCGTATTTTGACCTACGTCAGTTTTGTGCGAGACTTTATATTTCTCAACATCATCATCATGGGGTCGAAGTTGTAAGATCTTCACTCTTTCCTATTCTGATCTAATCTTAAAAAAAAAAAATTTTGGGTGTTTCATTCCCACCAGCCATTAATGCTGGTGGGCGGGCTGTCCCTCCGGACTATGCCGGAAGGTAGGGCGAAAGGCACTCTTCAGCCTGCTTTCAGGAATCGTGGGAATGGGTGGGTGGTGGTTCGGGTGAGAAAGATGAGACGGACGAAATGAAGACAGAAGAGANGTAGGGCGGAAGGCCCTCTTCAGCCTGCTTTCAGGAATCGTGGGAATGGGTGGGTGGTGGTTCGGGTGAGAAAGATGAGACGGACGAAATGAAGACAGAAGAGAGTGAAAGATTATCTATGGACTATTACTGCCTCAGCATTTGCCTAAGTGATCCAAGGAAACCACAGAAAAACTTGGACCGAGGCAGACGGACCCGGAATCGAACCGGCGTCCTCCCGAATGTTAAGCAATGGTCTAGACCTCTAGGCCATGCCGCTCGGTCTAATCTTCTTGTAAACAGGGATCATATATAGGTCCATTTCTACTCCACTTAACTCCTGATTTCTGCTTCTAATATGTTTCCAACTAGCCCTTCATGCTTGAGAAGGTGTTCTATCTATACCGTGGATAGAGAAGGCTTGAAATGAGAAGATATGGGAAATCAGAGGATGCTATGGGAGTCATTAAGAAATTGACGAGATAGGTTCGCAAGACACCTTCTCAGATATGAGGGGCTCGTTTTCAAACATTTTAGAAGCAGAAAAAGGAGTTAAAAGAGTAGAGGTAGACCTAGATTATATCGCTGTTGGCAAATAGTTCAAGATGTGGGATGCTCTAGTTTTGGGGAAATGCGAAGATTAGCTCAGAATAGGAAACAGTGGAGGTGCGTGTCCAACCAGTCTTGGGACTGACGACCTTGTGATGATGATAACTTAGGATATGTTGTGGGAGATGATGATGAGAGCACCTATGCTATGGAATCATACGACTAGCTCAAGGGACAACTACGAAAATATACCATAAGCTGTAAGATAGACTCGGAAAAACACTGCTGAAGAAGGAAATGGTGTTGATGATGAGAGCACCTATACTATGGAATCATACGACTAGCTCAAGAGACAACTACGAAAATATACCATAAGCTGTAAGATAGACTGGGAAAAACACTGCTGAAGAAGGAAATGGTGTTACTACAACTGTGTTCTCAAATAACTAAATCGGAAGCTTCGAGGAAAAAGAAATGCTGCATTTTCATTACTGAAAGAAGTAGTTAGTTTTGAAAATAAATTGCTTTTTCTACAGAAGATATTGAGTAGCGTGCATTACTACATTTCCATATCTTAAGAAATCATCGGATTGGAAACAGTACTTCTGTTGACACTGATGATTACTCCACAAGAACGATCAAAACAATGAAAGATGACTTTGTTAATTCCTCTGAAAGCAAACAGCAAAGAACTAAATTTTACTCCATCACTGCTGGTTGATTTTAAATCCAATTACTAGATTTAAAAAGTAAAGATTTGTGGAGTTCGAAATTTATGGGTCTATGCAGTAGATAGAAATGTCTTTCGATATTGCAGCATACGTAAAAGGGATGCCTGGCACACATTGGCGTTGGATGTACTTAGGTATATATCTAATTTTTTTGGCAATTCTGCAACTTTGTGACACCTGTAGATACCCGTCCGCCGTCCCCTGTTAGTGTCAAATTTTTCTACTTCTAATAGAATATTAATGAAGTTCCTATATTTCAAAATGCTGTTACATTAGATGGGTAATTAAGATAATAACAACTGAATTATTATTCTCTACCATAATGACATGGAAAATACCGTATATCAATTTAGAATCCATAAGTAAATATAGGAAGCCTTAATATTGGTATAACTGATCCCATTTGTTGAAGATAATTAATTATCTGTGTGTCCTTTTACAAATTTTGTGATATCCGTGTTTGTTCATGAAATCAAAACGGAAACGGTTTCCATTGTAATAATAATGTATCCAATTAGTAAATATAAAAACGAATTTTTAAAATTTTGTTCATTATAATCCGAGAAAAAAAATACCGCGATCCATTATTTTACTTATTTATTGTGATACCCTATTACAAATAATGAAAATTGTTTTTTTCTTTTGTATATTTGCGTCACGCTTATTTTGTACGTCACAATCGCTTCTGTTTTTAGCAAATACTGGAAATGATTCCTAAGTAAATATGATTTTTTTCTGCAGAATTTTAAATTCATCTGTAATTCATGAAGAAATCGAGGAACAGCGTCAACATTGCATAAATTTGCTTGCTGAATTGTCATCAGCAATAAAAGTGTGTCAATAAAATAAAGGACAGTCGAACATTTGCAATTTCTATTGAGATAAACTTTTATATTTATTCCAAATACGTCAACTCGAAATTTTCCATTTTTCTAACGATATACAATTTTTCTCTAGCTCGAAATTTAAATCATTTCATTATAAATTGTCTCCTTAATTCGATTTTCTATTAATTTTTTTCGGAAAAATTGACCGTAGCGATAATCAAAGGCTCGAGTCAAAGCCGAGTTTCCGAATATCTTGTAATAATGTTAGATAAAATGATAACAATCGGATATTTCTTACCTCACAATTCACACACATTGTCAGCAGTGTAAGCGGTTGTTGTTGATTAATTTTCTTTACGAAGTGGTTTCTTCACTAAGCAATATTTCTACACTTGTCATACCTACTTCCAATTCTTTACTGATAACTTTTCGACATCATTTCGCGGAATTATTTGGAGTTTCAAAATAAATATGTATGCATAATAAAATTTGATAAAAAGCGCAATTTCAATGTCAAAGATCAGGATTTCCTAATTAACTGTAAAAGTTTTAAACTTTTTTGTTTTAATTACACCGACTCAATTTCAGAAGGCTTGTTTTTAGTAATATAATTTATTATTAATTAATGGTATTGGTATTTATGCAGTTTGACGTTAGATTTCTAATAAAACATTATATTTACGTAAATGTTGAAGGTCAGTTTTTTGGATTCGGTGTCGTTTTGTGTAAAAGGAAAATAACGTATTTCATTATCATTTAATTTATGAGCTAACTTAAAAAAATAACAAAATTAAAAGAATACGTCAAATAAACAATTCTCGGTAAAGGTGTAGATGATGGCCCCTNATAAGAAAGTAATAGAGGCAATAGCAATGGTTATGTACAGAGAGCAAGTAGGGTCCAGACTAGAACATACACTAAACCAAGAGATAAGAAGACTACCACAACTTATGTGGTATGGACTCGCAATGGGGATGAAAGAAAATAGATAGCCAAAAAATGTTAGTTAAATGTGGGTGGGGGTAGGGGGGTTCGAAAGAGGGTGGTCACCAGAGTAAAACCCCATAAAAAATTTGCGGCGGTCTCACCCCCATAAAACGTTATGGGTGTTGAAAGTTGATTATTTTGACAAATTTTATAAACAATAATTCAAATAAAATTCAATAAAACAAACATTTTCAAGCGGGTGGAGGTGGGGGATCGAAAGAGTGTGGTCACAAAACAACAAAAACCGATAACCTAACCTAACCTACCCTATTGATAAAGATATTTAAATAATGTTTTATATAACTTTCTCAATATTTTTATGTATTTTTCTACTTGTTTTACCTTTGAATATTGTTTAAGAATGACTATATAAATATTTACATGCCTAGAAATGTATAAAAATTGGCATATTTATTAACTTTGAACCCCCATAACTTTTTATGGGGGTGAGGCCGCCACGAACTTTTTATGGTACAGTGCTGGGGGAGATATCCTCTTTCGATCCCCCCACCACCATCATCTAGACCTTTACCCAATTCTCGTACGGAATCGAAAAAATATATTCAGAAACGTTGGACAACCCTAAAATGCATAAAAATAAATATCTTTTGTCCTTTTCATAATAGTTTCCGTTCCAGTTGATTTTCATTAAAAGATAAGCGAATAATAATGTTTCAGTTTACGTAATTGCGTAAAAAGTACTGAACCAAGATGCAATTTTATGCTTTAATTATTTATTATTTATGCAATCGTTTAGCCTTGGAGATGCTGACATTTCTCATTATTGTTACCTATTGAAAAGTGTTGGCAATCAATTTAACTGCTAACCAATTTCTTTTGCAACGTAACTGTAAAACAACAACGATAGTGGTCCAAAATAAACCGAATATGAGTGAATGTAATTAACGTTGTTGTTGACAACTGTACTGTATAAGTGAATGTACGGTTTTTATAAATATAATTTTTACATATGCCAAATCTCGTTTCTTGTTATATTTAATTTAGTTCTCAGTTTCTTATTTAACTTTGCTGGACACTAACTGATGGCTTTTGGGTACCATCAAGGATTAACACACATTTGGTATGATCCAAATCAAACAAAGATAAATATAACATTGTAAAAAATAATACAGTATAGAAATTCCTTTAAGGCTTTTTATCAATTAAAAAGTTTATTTAATTTTAGTGAACACTAACAGATGGCTTTTCGGTACCATCAAGGATTAACACACATTTGGCAACATTAAAATCGAGCAAGGATAAATATAACATTGTAAAAAATAATACAGTATAGAAATTCCTTGAAGTCTTTTTATCAATTAAAAAGTTTACTTTACTTTAGTGAACACTAACAGATGGCTTTTCGGTACCATCAAGGATTAACACACATTTGGCAACATTACAATCTAGCAAGGATAAATATAACACTGTAAAAAATAATACAGTATAGAAAATTCTTCAAGTCTTTATCAATTAAAAAGTTTATTTTACTTTAGTAGACACTAAGAAATGGCTTTTCAGTACTATCAAGGATTAGCACACATTTGGTACGTTCAAAATCAAACAAAGATAAATATAACATTGTAAAAAATAATACAGCATAGAAAATCCTTGAAGTCTTTCTGTCAATTAAAGATTTTATTTTACTTTAGTAGACACTAACAGGTGGCTTTTTGGTACCATCAAGGATTAACATATTTGGTACTATCAAAATCGAAAAAGGATTAATATAACATTGTACAAAATATTACAGTATAGAAAATCCTTCGTGTTTTTATCAATGAAAAAGTTTATTTTACTTTAGTAGACACTAACAAATGGCTTTTCGATACTATCCAAGGATTAACATACATTTGGTACGATCAAAATCGAACAACGATAAATATAACATTGTAAAAAATAATACAGCATAGAAAATCCTTGAAGTCTTTCCGTCAATTAAAGATTTTATTTTACTTTAGTAGACACTAACAGGTGGCTTTTTGGTACCATCAAGGATTAACATATTTGATACTATCAAAATCGAAAAAGGATTAATATAACATTGTACAAAATATTACAGTATAGAAAATCCTTAAAGTCTTTTTATCAATGAAAAAGTTTATTTTACTTTAGTAGACACTAACAAATGGCTTTTCGCCACTATCAAGGATTAATACACATTTGGTACGATCAAAATCGAACAACGATAAATATAACATTGTAAAAAATAATATAGTATAGAATGTCCTTGAAGCCTTTTAATCAATTAAAAATTTTGATAATGTTTTTCCTGGAAGTAAATTGAAAAACTGAAGATCTATCTATACTGTGAGAAGTAAGGTAGTAAAATAGCTTCTTTTAGTTCTTCGCCTTCCCAATTTGACTCAGTCATAATTACAATGAGTTTCAATAATAACTCTTCCTCTTCATTCTTTTTAATTATGTAATTGTTAATAGTTTTCATTGAAGAATAGACCTCAAGGCCATTATATTCATTTTGACACCATAAAGTATGTATGGTGCTATTCTTTTCCGAAGAAATCCTTCTATGATGTTACCTAACATGTAATAAATCATTCTATTTCTATTTCTTGTACACTAATTGCTTAACATCAACATAACTTCGGAACCGTTTTTAATGTCAAACAAAAACTCAGTTGGTGTCAGTATTATCATCCTCATCATCATAAGGTCGTCTGTCCTAAGACTGGTTGGACATGCACCTCCACTAATCTTCGCATTTCCTCAAATCCAGAACATCTCACATTCTTAACTATTTGTGAACAGTAATATAATTTACTGTACCCCTCATAACTCCTGTTTTTGCTTCCAAAATGTCTCTAACCACCTCTTCATACCTGAGAAGATGTCCTACCAACCGATCTCGCCTATTTATACTGACTATAAATTCTATAACATTAATGAAATTTTCTGCAGTAGTTTTTGAAGTTAATCCGTTCAAACAAACACAAGTCCTTTGCTATGTTACATTCGTTTTCGTATTCAGTTTTATATGTAAACGAAGAAAGTATTTCAAATCTGAATACTTAAAAATCATAGTCAAACACTCCATTTTTATTTATCTGTATTGATGAATATTTAGCAATAAAAATGAGTATGAGTACCATTTTTTTGAACATTTAGCAAATACAATACCGTATAGTAATTACCACAAACATTCCATTGATTAACTTCTTACACATCGTCGTATTGCAAAGTGGGTCTCAGTTTTTTTTTTGATAAGAATCTTTTTGATTTACTGTTTTCAAGTAAATGAAATATAAAAAAGACACAAACGAAGACCAGAGCTGTGACATGCAATTGTTTATCTTTCGAGAACGAGTGAGCCATGAGACAGAATATGATAAAATGGAAATCTGGAGAAAGTTAATTAGCATTTTAACTTTTTAACCTATGATCCACATTCCAGATTGATGCTGCTACATATATTGCGAAATCATTGTATTTGTAGATAAGCAGTAGATCCGTTATTAATAAGGAACAGCAATCAAAACTGTAATAATTACATATATCAATGAGCGAGCGTTAGTTATGAGCAAAATTGGTGTTTTTTTTTTGGTCTTACGGAAGTGCAAAACTAAGACATAAACAAAGATCGAATAGGCAAGACCAATATTAAATAGACAAGACTAAACGAAAAATTACTACTTCCGTTGAAGAGGATTTGCTCAAAGCGTTCGTCGAGGCTTTTCGCTGATCATTCCTCAGAGAGCTTAAAGCCCTTTGAATTACACATTTTAAAGCACTTTTATAAAGCAATCGGTTTACTAAGCTTCAACTGCTTGTTTATAAAATAACTTACCTTCTACAATATCACTAGTATTTTCTGGGCTTGTTGACCGCTGTCGTTGGGATTTTGTTCCTGACGTTTCGCTTGCTGGTCATTCATCAGCAAAGAGCTCCAATAAACGCTTATAGCAAAAAAAACTTTTGGGTGCTAGTGGGCGTGCAGTCCATCCGGACTACGCCGAAAGGTAGGGCGGAAGACCCTCTTCAAGAATCGCAGGAATGGGTGGGTGGTGGTTCGGATGAGAAAGATGAGACGGACGAAATGAAGACAGAAGAGAATGAAATATTATCTGTGGAATATTACTGTCTCAGGATTTTGCCTAAGTGATTCAAGGAAACCACAGAAAGACTTGGACCAAGGCAGACGGACCCGGAATCCCGGAATCGAACCGACGTTCTCCCGAATGCCAAGCAATGGACTAAACCTCCAGGCCATGTCACTCGATTCTTCTAGCAAGTCCAGCAGCGAACTACCTTTGAAAATGCCTGCCGCAGCTAAAGGCGAAATGTCAGGAGTAAAATCCTAACGACCACGGTTAACAAGCTCAGGAAACACTAACAATACTGAAGATGCCGGTCGTGAAAGCCTACATTTACGCATTACCTGCTACTTCCAAAC